CTTTTCATGATTAAATTAAAGTTGCAAACAATAATGTGGAGAAAACAAAATGTAGTACGTTATTTGGGTTATTTAGAATATTTATGATTAGTCACAATGGTCTCTTCTCCAAATTACAATAAGTACAACATCAAAGGAGAATATGATTGGGCAGGGTAGGCATCTGTCATACAAAATTGACTTTCTCTGGATTAATTATCCATAAACTTTCCTACATAGTTAAACTTTATACTTATTATATTTGATTCCCTTAACTTTTAAGAGTGAAAAATTTTCATTTAAAGATTGGTCTTCCAAAAATATTTTGACCCAACTTTCAATATTATATGAAGGACTCTAAGAGTCACTTCTGCTCGAAAAAGCAAAACTATTGATTCCCAACAAAGACTAAGTCAAAGTGAGAAATTCAGCAAAGAGGATCTGGAAAGCAAACTGCTGTCTGCTTCTGATTCAGGCCTGAGCCTGGCTTCATTTTGCTTCTGAAATACTTTCCCTCAACTTTTTTTCCAGAACCTCAAGGAACTGTATATATTAATAAAAATACATAAAATTCAACGGGGACTGAAGGCTATTCATCACTCTCTGCTCTTTTTCATGTGTGTGATATATTTCTTTAACTTATTTAAATTTTTCCAAATGTTGACTAGGTGTGAAGGAGTTGCTTAGTTGTATTCATTCTAGCAAAGCAATTTAACGGGAAGTGAAATTTCTCTCTTTCTCTCTCTCTCTCTCTCTCTCACACACACACACACACTCACACTTGCGCATGCACATGTGATCTTAGTTATAGAACTACAAGGGTCCTGAGATAATGCCATCTCATTCAAACCTGATTGTTCAGGTAAAAAATGTAAAATGGGAAGTTAAGACTTTCTCAGACAAAACATTGCATCCCATTACTTCTCTATACATTACTCTTTGATATCAGCAGTGATTACCACAATTTTTACATCTTATAAATAGGTATGAAATACCTTCAATTATAGCCTTTTAAAATTTTACAACTTGTTCCTATGTGCATTTAAATTTGTTTTGTATGTTTTTAAACTTTAACATTAAAATGTCTTGAAATATAACAAAAGCAAGTAGTTGCTAAAGAAAGAGAAGGCATGCTTCCTGGATCCCTAACCTTTTGGGAAGGTACACAACTGCAGGTGACTGCAGAGGTAGGATTCTGTCAGAGTTGAGAAATAGATGCTTTCTTGTATCATTACAAGGGGCTGTAAAAAGCGATGTTGCCTATGTGTACTTGAATAAAGCCTTACCATCTAGTGTTCCAGAAAATGGTTCTGGGACAGACTTGTTTGTATTCAAGTGGTTCTGAAGCTGAGGTTTGGAACTTGGTGTTCCTTAATAACTTTTTATTTTTTCCAATTTTCTCATGTGCCAGGAACAAAAGGCTATTCTCCAACTCTGCTTCAATCCCTATTTTATTTACATTTTTCTGATACCAGATTTGTCCTGAGGATAATAATAAATCCAATGTTCCTTATTTATTATATGTAACATGTATTTTAAGAAGCAGAGGGATGAATTAATAAATTATTAATAATTCATGAATAAATAATTCATAATTCATAATAATTCATTAAGTTATTCACTATACCTTTTTATAGCTACAAGTCTTAAAAAATGTTTTTTATAATATTTTAATATGTTATATGGCAAATTTTGATGTCTTTTATATAATTTTCCAATTACCAACCAGTTATGTGTATATATATTTACATTAAGCTATATATTTCAGTTCCCCCATAGAATACATATAATATATGCATGCATATTATGACTACTTCTACATAACATTCTGTATAACAAAGTAATAAACATATGGATGAGAAATTCAAGTTAAATATATTTGTTCAAACTAAATGTCTCATTTTTCAGAAATATGCAACAGCCTAGCATGAGAATATATCTTTATGTAGACGTTTTATATAGTCCTAGCCAATGCTTTAGAAAATGCTTTAGCCAATTTTTCTAGAAAATATTCTAATAACTAAGATCAAGTTCCTATAGCTTCATTAAATATTTCTTGGACATATGAAAATATATTTTATAGCTATGAAAAACTAGGCTATGGCTTAAACCTTAGACTTCTCCCTTATGAAGGCAAATCAATACTTATAAAACAGGAGAGTTAAAATTAATGTGGTCATAATCTGTGAATTTTCCAGGAACTTCCATTTATGGAAGATCAGTTAATGTTCAACATTTTAGAAATGCTACAGTAAGAATCTCTTTCCCTTTAGGCATATTTTAAGAAGTGACTAATAATCAGTAATTGCAATTTAGAAAATATTTATTGAACTCATAGAAAAGCACACTACATGAGACTGGGGACATATCAATGAATGAGACAAATTCTTGCTGTCAAGGAGCTCTTGGTTTAGGAACTACTTGAGAGGAGTTTAGGAACTCAATTTCAAGCTAATGCAGTAATGGATTTAAAGCAAGTTTCTGTGGTGTGCTCTACGGATTCATGCTGACTTGGGGCACTGGGAAAAGCTCCATAGAGGTAGCAGGGGCATTTTTGTTGCTCCATAAATATGGCAAACAAATAAACATCCTAGAGGTTGCCTGGAATAGCCCAGATCTGCTGTTGTCCAGATGTGATTTTTAATACTGCACTTTTACTGTCAACAGGTTTTTTTTTAAAAGTTTATTTATTTTGGTTATAGGTGGACACAATACCTTTTTTAATATTTATTTTTTAGTTGTAGTTGGACATAATACCTTTATTTCACTTATTTATTTTATGTGATGCTGAAGATTGAACCCAGGGTCTCCCACATGTGAGGCAAGCGCTCTACCGCTGAGCCACACGCGCAGCCCTCAACAGTTTTCTTTGTATGATAAAATATATGATCATCCTTGTATTGAAGTAGACATAAGACGATGATAGGGAGAGGAGGGAGGGAAAGAGTTTCAGGTGAACCAAAGAGCAAATACAAAAGGTTTGGAAGGATGAAATCCCCGGGACTGTCTGGAGAAGAGCTGTATAATCTTCTTCTTGTATGCATAAAAGAAGGCACTCCCCCCATTCCTGTTGCTGATTGAATTAAAATAGGAGTATGTTCTTCGAGAACTCCCATGAACCTTTTATTTGTGCTTAATTTATTTTTCTTTCTAGGAAGATGACTACTGTGTAGCATAGATCTTTCCCATTTTTATATCTCATTTTCCATTTCCATTTCATCAGACAGTTCATTTCTGGCAATCTATTATTTTTACATCACAAGAATAGAGAGGAAAATTATAAAACAATTCATACATTTCATTATCTGCCTCTAACCAGTTAACACTAAATTAGAACATTCAATGTGCTTGAACTTGGCCCTATGCTTTCCTAGAAACAAATGTTTGAAGAGAAAATAGCCTAAATTGGACAAAAATTATTTTTGTCTTCATAACTATTCAGGGAAAAAGAATGGAATATGCTGAAATAAAGAAAATCTTAACTTTGCATTGTTTTGAACAATTGGTTTACATTATTACTTTTTGTATGATAAAGTTCATTTCTGGTAGATTTATTTCTTTTAGGCATTTTTTAACAAAAAGTTTCTAAATTTAGAACCAAGACAATGACTAGTACTATGAATATGTATGAAAAATACAGACATCAATTCAACAATTCCATCAGTAACTGAAAAGCCTGTATCTTCCTCCTCACATGAGAACCCACAGCAGACTTAACATTCATGCTTTGTTAATCCCCAAATAATTTTGTGTTAGCCCTTTTAGGGTGCTCAAAGAGCTGTAGCCACAGATTCTACAAGAGTTCTATTCATCAGGTGCATGCAATATGAACAGATGGGAAACAGCAATGGCTATGCTTCATTTAAGGAAACAGGTACGGGGATTAGGTAGGGAAGGCAGCTCCCTCCTCCTCCTCCCTCTTTTCATTCCTGTTTCTCTTTCTGGAGATGCTTTGGAAAATTACCAATTCCAGATAGGCACTGAAGTCCATACTGCAATGCACTCTTGTGCCTCTTTCCTTTCCCAGCCCAGTTTAGTTTCAAGGCTTCCCCTAGCAGGAACCTGGGCTCCTATTCTACACATTTCTCATAAGCAGATGGGATGAGGTATATATATCTTCAGAGGGGGTTTTTAATTTTTTAAATAAGCCAAAATGTCAACAAACATGATAGCTGTCATTAATTATCTAAAGTATTCTGATTTTTCTCACATCACATGAGTATCACAAAATAGTAAACTCCTTAGAAGATGTGATTTTGATGAAGTAAACAGCAATCTTTCCCTCTCGCCCTTGGGCTCTCATGTTCCTTCCTGTGACTGTCAAGCTAGTATTCTAACTGGCCGAGTTACTTCTAGTGTCTTTCCATTTCAGTACATTTCTAGGATGTTCCTAAAATGATCCTTCTAATACACAACTTGATTATGCCTCTGTTGAAAGCTTTTTGATAGCATCCAGTATGATGGCATGAAGTTTCAGTTAACTGAAGCCTGGCAAGCAAGGCTGAGTACAGTCATCTTTAGTGTTATGTGCTCCCCTTCATACCTGATGCCTTCATCACTGCATGATGCCTTTGCAGAATTTAATCCCAGTGAACTCCCTGACTCCTTGACTTACTTATGCTCACCTGTGTATTATCCTACCAGGCACTGGATACTTTTATGAGTCTGAATGTTCTTGGAGGTCTCATTTTTCTTTGTATCATCATTGCTTAGCAGAATGCCTGCTATGTCTGCAGAATAAGCCACCACCACCACCACCAAAAAGGTAGCTGAATTAGTTCCTATTTGGGAAGAACTTTCTTAAATCAATACCACTAGTCCTAATGGGTTTTAATGGTGCCAAATGATTACTTGTATACTTGAGACCACATTTGGCTAATCACCTGTTTCTCTAGATAGGCAAGATAAGGCAATATGTGCCTAAGGGTACCCAAACCAAAGATCTATGTGAAATTCTTTCTAAAGTGAGTTGGGTGAAATAAATTTACTTTCTGACAGATGAACACACAAATCACCATAAATCACTTTCATATAAATATGTTTTATTGCAGAGAAGTTATAATTATTTACATGCTGCAACACATCACGACATAAATTTACCAAATATCTCATGGTGGGATGCTGTAGGTTTCAGATAATAGTTTCAGAAGAACCACAGATTAAGTGAAGAGACTTAACAGCTTTGTTGACTCTACAACTCTCAGTTGCTAAATGCTAGAAGTCAAAGGCAGTGTTTTTTCAGTCCTACCTGTCATCACTTGCATGCAGAAACCTAGGAAGCAAATACAAGAGAACTGTCGAGTGTCATATCCATATTGCCACCAAAGTTTACAATGGGTTAAGTTATAATTCATGTCGTAAAGCATTTAATTCTTGCATAAAATATACAGTTCTATTAAGATTGATATAAATCTACTTATTTATAAACCCTGGCATAAAAACAAGGACAGGATGCAGCCTGCACATGCATTGAGAAGGACAACCTAACAAATGTTTGTGAGACTCTAGTAAGTGTTTATTCACTTTCTTATTGTAATGAACCTGGGAAAATATCCTCCAGAATTGTAAATTTCAACTTCTCTTGGTGATTAATAATGGCAATGAAACTCTAGGAAAGACCCTAGGCATTTTCACCATTCTATGCTGGTAGAGAATAATCTATGGTCTGTAGAATGTCACTAAGGTATAATTTGGCAAGTTTTCTTTAAGCCACGTGTCTAGCAGGATCATCCTGAAGTGCAATAAAAGTCACTGCTTAATTCTCAAAAGTGAATCAAATGCTAAGAAATCTCAGACATAAGTGAAACAAGTATGTTGGTCTAGAAACTTGAAACCAAGTTCACAAATATACCTTAAAGTAGTATTCTAGGAACTTCAAGAAGGTAGGAAGATTGGGTGACTAAAAAGGAAGGGATGAAAGAAAGAAATGAAGGCAACACTTTAAAATAGAATTTCTATAGCTCTTCGTACCTACCCCACCAACCTGAGTATTGCACAAAGTAAGCAAATGGGTGAGGGAGATTCACGCACAGCTTTGTAAAAGGGCCACATGCTCGCATACTCTTGAATGAAATCACTGAGAAAATGTTGATGGTGGACACAGAGAATTCTGTTTTTACCTTCTGTTACGAATAAAATTCTCTAAGAAAAGCCTTAAATCAACCTTCTGACTCCTTTTTCCCATCTTTTATCCTCCTAGCATGTTTCCTTTGCTGCTTATGAAATGGAAAGCAGTTATTTAGGTTGGAAATATCCTGGCCAAATAAGCAATTGATACTTCAGTGTTTAGAGTGAGAGAAAGCAAAGTCTGGGCTCTATTTTTAAGTGATTCACCTTTAAATAAAACGAGACTGAGCTTTGGAATCTCACTGCATGATCACATCAGTAGGGTGAAGTCAGCAGCTTAGGATTTTCATGCGAAGAGATCAGTGTGGAGTGCAGTAAATTTTGTAAGATATACTTTGCAGGCTGTTTTGCCTTGCAAATAATATTAGGCTTTTCATTTTGAGTAAGGTGGCTTGCAAGGGCAATTTGCAGGACTTGAAGGTTTCTAGAATGAAGAATCCATACCACCTTATGATCTTTGAATAAATCAGGTTATAAAACCTCTTTGGGATTTGAGCCCAGCAAGTTCTATCCCTAGTTGAAGCAATGAATAAAATTTTATGAGAATAAATAGTTTAAGGTAATTTAAAATATATTTTCAGTATGCATAATAAAATATATCCATATAATGATATTGATGCTATCATTAATTTTTCTCTTTAAAAAAATAATCCATTGAAAGTGCTATTAGGAGCTATCGTTCTGTCTTCACTTTGAAGGCAAATTTCCTGGATCTATGTGTATTAATGCTATAATTCTCATCATTCCTAGAGTCTTCCCTTTCCATTGGTAATAATAATGCACAGTATATTTTCTCACTCTTAGCTTCTTCCTTAGGAAATGTTGCTAAGTATGAAATACTGAAAGAGTAAAAGGGACAAGTAATTGGAATGACTCTGACTTTGAACAAACAATGGATAAGTTGTCCTTAACTTATTGAGACATGACTAAGTAGGACCACTTGATCTCCAATAATAATAAACCTTCTGAGTCCTAACAAGTGCAAAATAAGTAACTCAACTTGTATAAAAAACCCTGATTAAGACTGTATAACAAACCATGATGTGAAATAATAAGAGTCAAATCCAAATTCACAATATATAAACCACAGCCCAAACTAAAGGTTTTTATCATAACTGTTATGGCTTCTTAAGCCAGAGAAAGCTTACTGTACTTCAAGAATCAACTAAAGTTGATAGCAAGTATTCTGTAAGTTGCAATAACAATTGAGTAGCTGCAGATTGCATAAATGTGTTGTGTCACATAATATCAAAGTTATTTGCAAAAATTATACAATCTGGAATGCTTGAATATGAGACACAACAATGTACTGAAACATTTATAATAAAATGAGAGCAATCATTAATATAAAAGGTATTTTTGGGATGCATTAAGTTAGCAGTGCTATCAAGGTTAAATAGGTAAAGTAAGGTCTTTTCAGTCAGCTACCTAGAATTTGTCATATATATCTATCTAAAACATTTTCCTCTTTGCCAAAATCATACATCTTCTGTCTCCTTGCTCATCTTGCTTAGGATCTTCAAAGTCCCATGAGGAAAGATGGATTGGGGCAGATGTTGAGGGCATTCCCTTAAACGTGCTGAAATGAAAAGATTTTCTTAGTTTACCAGGGGAGGACTCTCCTCTGCTGAAGGCTGACTTCTGCATTGTGACATGCTGGACCTGTCCTAGTCATCTTCAGCCCTTTCACCTCCCCTCACTATATGTCATATTTCCCTTGACTTACAAAATACTCTGTGGGAATTTTTGATTCTTAGATCTTCTGTCTTGTATCACATTGGGATTTTCTTCTTTCTTTTCTTCCTGGGGATTCTACCTCATTATTTTCGAGGCCCTGCTATCTTATTTGCACTCAAAACAGAAGAGGCTGGTAAAATTACACTTCTTTCAGCATTTAGTTGACCAGGGGTCTCAAACTCCCAAGGACACACCTCAGCTCGTGATGTTAACGGTTGTTGGGAGTTTTTACTTGAGTTACAGGAACCAGGTGCATTTTCCACAGAGAAAGATGTCTTTTCCTGGTCTCGCATTTGGTTGGGATTTTCATTCTCTATTTTTGATGCCATGACTTTGGGGGGCAGTTCCTCGTATTGCCCAGCACGCACAGTGGCTGCATGGTGCTGACCTCCATTCTCATCTTTGGCTCTCCCTGGGAGAACTATAGTCTTGGAAATCAAATGTTTTTCATCTTCAAAAAAAGACTGATCCTGGCTCTCCCAAGGGCACACCTCAGCCTTATCTATGCTCTTCTGACTGGACTGCTGACATCCTTCAGCTGCCTTAGGCCTGTGGTGGACTTTCTCCTTCAAGGAAAATGTTGGATTTTTTTCCATTTCAGAAGCTGCGATAGACACGTGTTTTTGAGCTTTTGTTTCTGAAGGCACAGGACCAGAGGTCAGGTCATAAATCTCCCATGGGCACACTTCCCCAATGTCAAAGTTGCCCTTCATCTGGGTGGTGCCTGGGCTCAGGTCAGAACTGGCAGAAGTGGGATTTACCCTTTGTTGTTTCATAATTCCAGATTTCTGAGGCTTTCTTGGTTCCTCCAAATTATTGGAGTTTTGGGGGACAGGATCTTTAGTCTCTGTGTTATCTGAATTTGAGCACTTCCTATTTGTCTCTTTATCTTTTGGCAGAGGTTTCTGAGATTTAGCACGTTCTTCTACACCTGATGTTTGGGTTTTCCCAGCTAATCCAAGAGTCTTCTCCTTGGCACTTGCTATGACACTAAGAGACTTTTGTAACATAGATGTTCGTGGGTGCCCAGGCTTCTTCTCTGAGCTGAGGTTGTGAGCACTTGCTGACTTACACACCAAAGGCACTGATTCTGTAGACTCGGCCTCACTGTCTTCTTTCAGTTTTTGTGTTAGCTTTTTACTTGCAAGAGATTCCAGTGTGGAATTTTCTGTAGCCTCCTCTTCTTGGTTTTCTGTTGGTAGGCTATTGGACTCTTCTGGTTGGTCTCTGACATGGTCATAAGTGCTGTGGGATTTCTTGAGTGAGAAGACTCTGTTTTTCAGGGACTCCTCCTTGGGTCTCCCTGTATTACCTGAAGGCTCTGGTGGGTTCTTCCTGACGAGGGCTGTACTTTTGGCCATGCTGTGGTCTGCCATGTCCTTGTCCTCTTTGGAACACTGTCTGCTGACAGTCTCTGGAATCTCAGTGATGCGCCTCATGATAGAACGGCCTAAGCCCTTCTTCGAGCACCGCTTTTTCTGGAGGTGGGGATTATTTGTAATCATCTTCTTCCTTTTATATATTTCTAACTGGGCATACAGTTTCTTTAGCTCATCCTGCCAAAACAAGAGCAAATTCAAAAAAGGTATTCAATGGAGTGTTTTTGCCAATTTCACTGAATGGTATTAGAAGTCAATAAGCTTAAGTTCTTTAGGGAAATTGCTCTACAACTTTTGTTAACATCTGTGCTTATCAATTTTCTCCTCATTTCTACCTTCTAATTATTTTGTGTTTTACATAAAATTTGAACTTTAAGACATAAACTCATGAATTCTATCCTTGCTTCACAGAGCAAGGATTTTGAACTTTCAATTTGTGTGGACAAAGCTGAGCCAGGACCATAAGAAAATACAACATACTATCTACTACTGATGAGCCCATAATCCGGAATAATGTTGGAAGCACTATATTGCCATTTGATGAAGTTTTATGTTATGCTAGATTAGCTTTAAGGGTCAACAGTTCATACACTGCTAAAGGGCACCTTCTTCCTTCAGATACTGATAAGTTATCACATATCATTTTAAATAATCCAGTTCAGTTTCTCTGGTCACAGGTACATCCTACTTTTCCATTAGCAGGTTGTTATAAATTCATATTTTAGAACATGGATAATCAGTTCTTCATCATGACTGCCTATAAGTCAGTCAAAAATATAAAAACTTCCCAGGCTACTGTAAGAGTTGAAATAGCATGTACTTTCCAATTGTACATGTTATCACTGAATTAACTCTGCATTTGATGTCTTCAGTTCACAAATATGAATTCTTTCTCTCTAATGCTGTGTACACCAACATGAGCACAGGCACACATGTGCATGCACATGCCAATCCACACACATTTGCCTGTATCAATGGGACTAACTGGGCCTACTCTGAAACAGGAAAGAAGATAGACCAGGATTACCCGAATGTCCTCTGGATCCAAGCTGTGCTCACTCCAAGCTGAATTGATACTGCTGTTCAGGTAGGATCCAGATCGGCCCATGTCTAGCTCATCTTCATATGCTTCTGTAGCAATATCGTCACGTGGATTATTGCTTGAAAGTGAAAACTGTAATAGATATTCAATATAAACTGTAGGCATTAACCCACTGTAGATATAGCACAATAATTGTCTAAAGGTACTAATATGAACAGCATTTCTTCAGTTTGATAAATTCATTCACTAAATACTTTCCAATGATTTGCTGCTATATTTTGTTTTGCTTTCCATGTTACATGCTGGTGCTTTCAGTGAGACAATATTAGCACTTGGCTCCCTCTCTGACTCCAAGTTCCACCTTTGTTTATTTCCTAGTATTAACTTATATTACTCCACTTCCAAGATATATTTGTCTTTTTGAAAATAAAAATTAAGTAAAAGAATCCAAAGAAATGTTGCCTAAGAGGAGAAATGTAGATACACTAGCAGGTGGATGGCAGGGTTTTTTGGTTGGTTTGTTGGGATTTTTTTTTTTTTTTTTTGAGCAGTGAGATCTCCTGTGTTTGTCATTTTGCTTCACTTAGGAAAGGATTTATTTCATCTATGGCCATAAATCATACTAGTAACAGGGATGTGACTTTCAATATTCTACACATAGGCTCAAAAAAGTTACTTTCAAAATAAACAGGATATCTGACTCCAGTTTCAATTCTGTCATCAATGAAATCTTGAAGAAGATATGAGATCACTCTGGACCACTGTATCCTCTTGGCCTAAAGAGTTCTGGGGTGAATAGTATCTAAGTTTAAATGCAAATATTCAACTGAAATTAACACATTTTTCCTCAAGCTCACTATCATTCTCAAATTTCTCCTTCTTTGTATTTTAATTATTTTCATATGATTTTTCTTTTCTACTTCATGTGCTTGTTTCTAAGTGCAAAAGTCAGGAAGAATGAGTAGGGTAAAGGATGAAAAGCAGAAAGAAGAATCAAAACAATGGAGCCACACATAAACAATATGTAAAATAAGGAACAGTTATGCAAAAACTGTTTGCTGAAAATAAAATAATAGCTCAGAGAACATGGATTCTCTTCTAGCTTATTATTGGTTCAAATATTCTTTCCAAAAACTAACATTGGGGATATAGAAATACTTTAATGTCAACTAGCATGGTGAAAATGTATCTGAAATACATGTGAAACAGCATTTCTTAGCTTAAGTCATAATTCATGTTTTGTAACTGGAACTGACTCAGAAATAGAGACTTTCCTTCCCTCTTCTGTCTACCTTTGTGAGACTCACAGGTACCATGAACTTGGGCTATAAATGATGAATATGATGGCATCCAAAGTCTCATGGGATACTAACTAAACCAGCTGGAGACTGTTTATAAAAATGGGACTATTTTTTCTTGAGCAAAACCTTGGAGACAGTCATGAGTTCAAGAAACAACACCAAGGGTTACAGAGGTTAGGGATGTAAATCAGTGGTAGAGGATATGCTTAGCATGTGCTAGGCCCCAGCACCTCCCCCACCAAAAAAAGGTTGTTTGTCTAATATATGCACTTCCTGCTGTGTTATTTTTTCCTTAGGACTTTATCCATTTATCTTATTTGTTAATCTTGTCTGTCCCCAAACTCTGCCTCCTGAATATAGAGAACATAGACTTTTATCTGTTCATTATTCTTATTATAAGGATATAGAACAGTGCCTATCTAAGCCCCTCAATATATTAAATTTGTCTTTTTATTGAGATATAATTCAGATACTAAAGTTTACAATTTTAAAGTATATAATTCAGTGTTTGTTAGTGTGTTCACAGGTTGTGCAACCATTATCAATCACTATTTAATCCCAGAATATTTTCAACACCCCACAAAGAAGCCTTAAACTCATTAAGTTATCACTTCTATTCCCCCTTCTCCCTGCTGTGGCCACCACTGGTCTACTTTCTGTTTCTACAGATTTTCCTATTCTGGACATTTAACATAAATGGAATCATGTAATAGGTGCCTTTCTGAGTCTGGCTTATTTAGCTGCCATAATGTTTTTAAGGTTTGTCCAAATTGTAGCATGTGTCAGTATTTCATTTCATTCCTTTTTATTGACAAATAATATTCCATTATATGGATATATATTTTACTTATACATTTATCAGTTGATGGAAATTTGGGTTGTTTCTATTTTTAGGATTATGGATAATGCTGCTATAAACATTCATATGCAAGGTTCTTGTATGAACACATATTTTCAATTCTCTTTCAAGTTCAATAACTATTTATTGAATGAATAGTCTGAATATTCATCCATCTTACAGATATATAACGATATGCAAAGTATTGAAATGCTAATTTAACAATAACATTAAGATAAATTGTAGTAACAGATAAATACATGAAACTGTGACTAGTTAATGTAAGTCAAGTAGGGAATAAAATAGGTATATTTTGTTCTGTTTATAACTGGCCTTTGCAATCTGGCTAAATGTAACATTTTAGTTAATTGTGAAAACTGATATAAAGTCTACAATGAAAGATAAACCACAAACTGGATTTAACTGTGCTAATGTTATATTGTACAGCACTGATAAAACACATAATGTTCTATTATTGTGTTTCTATGTGCATAAAAGAGAAAAATATTCTTCTATACATAATTTTATATGTATTTCCATTTAAACAAAATCTCTGAATGTTTTAAACACAATACTTCTCTGAATATGAATCTAAAGAGGAAGGATTCTTAGAATAGTTATTTAAAAATATGATCTTGATGTTATAGCTACAATGAAAGCCATCTAACAATAATAATTAAAACAAAAGTAGAAATCAAAATATTTGGAAAGAGATAATAAATTTTGGTATAAATTAAGGCATTTAAAATTATTTAAGATGTTTTATGAATCTAAAATGAAAACATACCCAGTTTCTAAAGGAGTTTTAAAAAACTATTTTTACAGTGCCCAGCAAATTTCCATACTTCCCTTTGTCTGTGTTGTGAGATATTTTTAAAAGAAGAAACAACTCCATGCTCTTTTAAAATAGTTGTCTTGCAAGAAAAATAAAATGTTAGAAAAATACCTTTGGAATCAAAAGCAACCCGATGGTGACTGTCACAGTCAAATGAGTATGTGCAAAATATAGCATCAACATCCAATCAGACTGAAGTCTTGAGGCAAGAACAAATCTGAAATGATAATTATTCAAGTCAGCAATCTAAAATTAAGATTTCTACTTAAAATACTAGGATATATGCAAAATCTTTTGTTCAATTTATTTTTAAAAAGAAAATAAAACTGTTTTTTTCTGTTTCTTATTTTTTTTTTTTATTGGTTGTTCACAACATTACAAAGCTCTTGACATATCATACTTCGAACAATAGTTTCAAGTGAGTTCTGTTTCTTTAGCATTATCTTTTCATCACAGGAAGAATAAAGGTTTGAGTAACCTTTACTGGATTAATAAGGTATAAATACTATTTATTATTTGAAATTATCAGAAACAGAATATATACATACATATGTGCTGCACATTTACCAAGATTATTATTGTATATGTAAGTTGACCTGCAAAACTAAAACAGTAAATAGACATGAATTGAAGAGTAGGTTACAAACTGGTTGTTTCAAGCAAATTTGGGTTATAGCACACATTCCGAATAAGTCCTGACTCTAATATCATAAGTTAAAAACATTAAGGTAAAAAAGAGTGGATAGTTATGTGTCTTTGTGAGTGATCTCAAAGGTTTGAATAAGGCAATGGAAAATTAACATAATAATGGTAGGTAAGATAAACTTTTAAAGTAAAATTTTTAGTTGTTTTAAATTGTCATATTGTCCTAAATAATTTAAAGTGTATTATTTAACAATCTTTTACTGAGGAATTTGTAAAGCTATATTCTGATTCAGGGAGGGAGAATTCAGTACCAAGTACCAATTACTCTAGTAATTTTGGATTACTTTTGTAAATTAATAGGTTCATCACCAAAGCTGTGTTTTAATGACTCATCCTTATGTAGAAACCAAGGGTTACTTTATGAGTTTTTTAAAATTACATCCAAATGTTATATTATCTTCCATTAATTCATGAAATATAAACATGGGATTTTACTGCTTTGGATTTAGAAAATTAGAATTGTGTTTCAATGATATACATCATCAAATCTGAAAAGTAAAGAGACTATGAAAATGCTCATGATATCATAATCACAAAACAAATTTATATGATTGGCAAAAAGAGGAAGAAACTAACTTTTATATCTGCATTATATCACACTCAGTACAATTCTATTAATTAAATTAATATTATTAATATTTAAAACAACATTGTCCTTAAGGGGATTTATTCCTCATTTTTACCTTCTCCTCACTTTTTAGAACATCATACAAAAATTATCCAAAATGGGGAGTTATTTTCACAGGTTTCTGGAAATGTAAACAAAACAAACTTGTAATATATATATAGAAGTGTAAAATGTTATGTTAACTCATATATCATTAGAATTTTTTTTCTTGATTACTATCTAACTCCTTTTTGAGACCAGTGACCTTACATTTCACATGCTTTCAATATGACTTAACATTCTCTTTGTTCATGGATGATATACTTTTTTATTGGTTCTTTTTACTTATACATGACATAATTTTGATACAGTTTGTTTTCATGGGTTATGTGAGATTTTTTTTAAGCATTAAAATAGGGTCACCATACTTAGCAACAAGTCATACTCTATGAAGCTTGTAAGAATATATAAATATGAATAAAATGATAGTTGTATAGTATATATTTTAAGCTAAAATAGTGAATCTTCAAAAAATAATTGAATTATACTGACAATAATTACCTTAAAATTAATCAGCTTTAAATTACTGCAGTTATAACTAGAAATACCTTGAGAAAAATCAGGTTTTGCAGTAGTTAAAAATAAGCAAAGGAGTAGAAAGTACTGGGGAAAGGGTCTTCTGTACTTTTATACTTAGTTCTTTGGCATTAGCCTCTTTTTGTGTAATTTGACAATTTGGTAAGAATGCAAGTAAATCTATATATAATATGTAGTTGTTTTAATTTATATATATATATATATATATATATATAATATTTGTGTATATGTACCTGTACACACATATAATTTCATATTTTACACAGACAAGAAAGAAGACATATTAATAGAGAATATCTTTTCGATGTTGGAAGCCTTATTTAATATAATTTCATTCAAGAAAATTACCAAAATAAAAAAATTTACTGAAATAGGTCCAGTTGGTTTAAATTATTATTATGTTATTGCTTCTTACTTTTGGAAATATAGCATGTATTAATTAAGTCCATGGGTAAATATGATATTGTGCATACTGCATACTTGATTTATTTAATTATCATTGCCTATTATTTGCTTCCTACCCACTCCACCCCCAATCACTATTTTTCAGATTTACTAAGTTAAACTATAATTTAAAATCCTTGGTCCTTTATGGCTGTAAAATACTACATTATTATAAATATAGGCATAAATATAAAAACATCTAAAATTTGCATACTAATATGTTAATAGTACATATTTGTAGATGGCCCAATTAGGAGGTTTACTTTTAAACTTTATCTTATGATTTTTTGTGTAATGGCCATTTATTATCACTTTACTAAACTTAAAAAAATATATATTTAAGGCATAATTCACTTTGCCTATTTTTGAAAGGACCTGGGCCAGTTTACAGTTTGACATTTACTGAAAAAAAATTGATGGTGAAAACTGAATAGAGTACATCTAAAATATAAAAGGATACCTATGTAACTGATTTGAACAAATTTAACTTGGCCTATTAATTTGCTTCTAACAAAGTTAGAAGCTTGATGTGGGGCAAAAGTGGAAAACACTTTGTACTGCATAGTCACATGCTGATGGTAGAAGACATTTAAACTTATCGGGAATAATGTCTTCTCTCAGGTTTGTAATATTCAGATGATGGTTAAATCTTGAAACATGTGCTTGACATTCTGGAAACAAAGTACAAAAAAACAGCTTCACTTGGAAAATAATCTTTATTTGGAGAAATGAAAAGTATATTGGAGATCTGGGACTGTGACATGATGTCTTCTGATGCTCCCTACATTCTGGACCACGGGCATCCATTTTCAGATTCTGAAACTCTAGTTTAGGAAAGACTATTCCTCCCATTGTGTCTTTATGATCTTATATTTTCATTCTCATCCTTTTTACGTCTTCTAATCTCTTTCTCTCCTCTGTTTCTCTTTACTCTCTCTTGAGAGAAGTAAGTCAAGGCTAGGAACCCAGTTTCTCTGATTCCTGTTTCCAGGGTACTCAGATCACAGATATCTCTTTTTTTAAATGATAGGTTAAGAAGCATAGGCTGTGCCTAAGCCCAACTGCCCTCTGGCATCATGTATTCCTACAGGTGCTAGTTAGTATTTTTCTGACTGTCTAAAGTCATAAATAAGCATACTGAGAAACGTGCACAAGTCCAGTCTCCTGCCCCCAACCTGACTCCCATTCTCACTAATTTCTAGGGACATTTGAATTCCATCAAAGGAGTTGAAACCAAAGAAAAGGGATTTCCTCTTTCCACTGAGGGCCAAGACATTCAAAGTTTCTAATAATTTTCTTAAGTGTATCCTAGCTTTCAAAATCTGTCAGGCAACTGAATGACATTTTTTTTTGTTGCTTTTCAAATAAAAGGATTCTTTTTGTTGTTATTCTATCCTCAGATTTTCATTTCATTTTCAAATATAAAGCAAGGGAAAATTCTCAGAAGATAAGTCATTTTGCGCACTTCATTATATACCATTTTTACATTTCTTCATATTTATCTGCTATAGAGAATGCATAACATAGAGGAGAGCCCTGGAGTATACACTCTTACCCAAGAAAGTCATGGCTAAAATGTGGTTATGACAGAACCCCAATTGTATATAATAACCCAGAGGAGAGATGATTTTTTTATTTGTTTTGAATTCAGTAGAATTCACATATAAACTGTCTATTTGACTGTTAGGATTTTGAAAATATAAACCATTATATGAAATATAAATAAAAACAATTGGGTTATCCATATCTGCTTTATAATTATATGTGCATTGCTTTATATCTTCATAACAAATAATATCATATATACACAATATCCCATAAGTGGTTTAACATAATGCAATATCATTGAGTTAACCTTCAAAATAAATGAAGGAAAAGAAAGAAATATCAGAAGAAACAGAGTAAAAATAAAACAAAACTATTCATTTGCCATTATAGGAACAAATTAGTCAACTTATAAAACATCACCCTTCCTAAATCTTTCCATTATTCATTTTATCCAATTTTTCTATTTAAATTAAACTGCAACACATCAGAAAAATAAAATAGTTATTTACTAGCTCTACAGATCACTTGCCTAATTGTATGGAATATAGCAGAGATAATGAGCTCATTGTGAACTGCAACAGCCATATAGCGTGGCTCATGAAATGCTGATGGGACTGTCCGCACTGCGTAGCAGAGATAAACACCCCACAAGAGGAATAAAAATTCAGCTGTGAGAAGAACAAACAAACAATTTTCGATTAGTTTCACAGGTGAACAAAAATATAAGTTCCTTAGCATGCATTTTGTCATAGAAATATAAATTTAGAAATAGATGCTTTCAAAGTATCATTCATATGTAAATAAGGATACTGTATATTTATTTTTAAATTTTATTTAATATACAGATCTTTTCAAAGATATACTTTGTCATTGTTTTTGACAGCATTTGAATTCTCAGTTTTGTTTTTTCTGATACTTGTATTTTTCCTAAAACATTTGTAAAATAATTTTTCTTATCCCCATCCTAGGTTTAGGATGTTCATGGAGGATCTTGGTCTTAAGAAAGTTATCAAGGCAAAAAAACAAAACAAAACAACAACAACAACAACAGCAGCAACAACAAACCCTTGTAATATGTTTATATAAAGCTCCTAGAAATTTAAGTTTTTATTGCACTGTGCCCAGTTCAGCAAGTGAAAGTATCCATTGCCAGAAATGTGAGAACACAGGTTGCTAAACAATTCAGTGGCATATTTTATAAATGAAATGTTGTTTCTTCACACATGACAGAAATCATATCTTTTGTGGGTGGAGTGCTGAAAGATTTAGTAAAATTCACAATCACCTTGTTTGATCACTGAAGCCAGAAGAGATAGGCAGAGGATAGAAGCTAAGAATAAGGACTTCAGAATCATACTAGATGTTATGTCTTAACCTGGGTCTACCCTAACTTACTTTGAGTAAATCTAGGTGATTTACTTAACCTCTGTGGTCACAGTTACTTCACTGGAAAATGAAGACAATGAAAGTAAGTACATACCTCCTAGGATTATTTATTAATTAAATAAAAAAATCATATAAATCAACATAATTTCTGACACATAGTAGTTGTTAAGTGGTTCTTATTGTTAAAATTCTCATTTGACTTTTTTTCAAACTAAGCATTGCAATATTTTTTAAAACCAGTTAGTTTTAAAACCTATTTTATCTCAGTGACACAACCATATCAGAAGATAAAATCTGAATACTGAGAAGAAAACTCTAATTTGGACAAAATATCTCACCCAAGACATACTTACATGTAGCTTTCTTGCATACTAAAATTCTGATCTCCATTCAAAACACTGATCAGATGAAAACCAAGATTTTATCTGCCAACTTCAACATGTTTCTACTATCATTTAAACGTTAGGAAGTGTCCCAAGTATTGATAATCAAGCTACTCAAAAAGAGAAGCCAAAGAAGGGGGTGGAGTGGACACTTCACTTCAAACTCTCCATGAGATTTAGCATTAAATCATTCCAAATTATTCAGTATGGTGAGCACAGGCCATATAAGGTGAATGTTGTTTCCAGTTAAGCTCTATTGGGTTGAATGAAGAAAATGAGCAAATTGTATGTGAATACAATTTGCTTTTCCAACTCAGTCTGTGGTACCACTTTTGCCTTCTGTAACCAGGTTTAAAATCTCAGAGCTACCTTTCACTTCTATGTTTCTTTTCTCTCTCTCTTTTTGTCATTCTTCATATTGATTGATTTCTCTCAAGGAATACAATTCTAATCTTTGTCTAAGTCCCTATCAGTTTACTTCTTATTTGTTGAAATTATTTTACAAGGGCCCTCTACAGCTGGCTTCACCCTGTACTAATCCATTCATCATAATAATGACAAGCTCATTTTTCTGAAACTCCATTTTGATCATATCAGGGTTTCTCCAAATCTCTGACTATCCATTTGGGTTAACCCAATCTCCATTAGAAGGTTTATTCAGATGTCAGTACAGGCTGGAAATAATTTCTGTCCCCAAATAAAGACTCTAAGGGGGTTGCTGTTCAGGTATACATGTTGTTACTTATAAGACTTTCTTGCTACCCAGGGTTCATGTTAGTTCCTAATATTACTTGACCTTTATCCTTTTTAATTTATACATTTGTTAGATCCTGACTTCTTGTTTCTCAGCCTTTTGTGAGGCATCAATTACATCTTCATTCAGAAATCTTCAAAGGCTCACTATTATTGTTTTACAAATCCTTCATCCTGGCTTTTGTAACTCTCCACATGACTTCACACTATATATTTAACATGATCTCCCAGCACTCCACAACATAAACACTTTGAGCTAACTTATGATTTCTCATTGTTTGCTAAATACTCCAAAGATTGGTCTTACCTATGAGCCATGGCTCACACTATTTCTCCCCCTGAAAATTTTCTCTTAACTCCATTTCCAAATCTTAGTCAATTTTTTAATGTTCAAACTCAAGTTTCACCTCCATCACAAGCTGCCTGGAATGGTTGTAACCTACACTGAATTTTCTTTCCACTAATCTCTCTCTCTTTTTAAACTATCTATACAACACAAAGCAGAGAATAAGGCCATATAATGTATAACTTGGAGAAAATTTTTCATGGGTTGGGTCTTATTAGTCAACACCTTCCTCAAACCACCCCACTCAATTATGACCTCTTTCATGGCAAGAACTGAGTTTCCAGTGATTTTTTTCTCCTTTGGCCTACACAGGTACAACATGGAGCCCAAATAAATAAGTCTTAATAAATGTTTGTTGAATTGAATGACTCTGATGTTAATTTCATGTTTAAATAACCAGAGATATAGATGTAATGTAACCTTGCCACTCCATATAACATTACAGGGCCTACTAAAGCAAAATAAGTAGGAGGCTGTTAGACTGGAGTCATTGCTTCACCTGGAAGGCTCATGGACCCTTACATAAGCAAACTGAAACAGTTTAGAGGCATTCCTTGTAATTGATTAAATTTGAATTGAACTTCATCCAATAACAGACAGCTAACTAGCTGATTCATTCTATAAAGTGGGCCCTCCTTTCCAGCCACACCCAACTCCTAGTTATAGCCAATAAAGTATTTTTTTTTAATGTTTCTGTGTTTTGTTCTATGCTCAGACTGCTGTTGTGAAACCCACAATGTCCTTTTGGCTTGGGTACTTCCTGATTCATGAATCATTTTTTGCTCAAATAAATTTTTAAAATTTTATTTTTGTCTCTTACGTTTCATGTAACCAGACTAAAAATGACCTAAAGATGATGCTGGCATTATTATCAACATGACAACCTCTATTTACTGACACACAATAAGTGGGGGGTACTGTGCTTGGCAGAAAAGAATGATGAAGGCAAAATACTATTAAGAAACAGTGCTGGGCCAGACAGCCCACACCAGCCCCTGAGGGACCCAGGCTCACAGTAGGCTAGGGGACCACCCCTTCACCTGCGGGGCAGGCAACAGCTAGAGCCTAGCCTCTGGTGCAGGACTGCCCCTTCTGACCAGCAGACACGGGGGAGGTTGAGCCCCAAGGCCCAGATCGACCCAAACCGGCTTGTGCGGGGGCCCAGGCTCACAGTAGGTTCAGGTCTACCCCTCTATCCAGGGGAAAGACACCCAGAGCCTAGCCTCTGACACAGTACACCCCTTCTGACCAGTAGACTACACAAAACCAGCCCAGGCCACCTATACCAGCCCGTGGATCCAGGCTCACAGTAGGCCCGGGTCTATCCCTCAACCCTAAACCCTCAGGGCAGACACCTGCTAGAGCCCAGCCTCCTGCACAGGACTGCCTCTTCCAACCAGCAGACTACTGAGGAAGCCTAGGCCTGACCCAGATCCATCCACACCAACTTGCGTGCAGGACCCAGGTCCAGGGTAGGTTTGAGTTCATCCTCTTCTAACCCCCCACCTGGGAGCCAAGCTTAACCCACTTCCATCTTGGGATACTATAGTCATCAGCATAGCCTTCCCCATGCAGTAGGCCCTAACTTTGACAGCAGACAGGGTTTAAAAGCAGCTGCATCTCAAAGAATGCATCCCAAAGAGAGTGTGAGGCCCACCCTTTCAGCCCCATCTCTGTAAGACATCACTTCATCTTAGGGGCACCTTAACTATTATCTGGAGTTACCTTGGCTATTGCTGCCACCGCCTTTAATTGCAAATGCAGTAGCATACATTGAGGGATACCAGCAGGGTCTGCAAGCCCAACATCAAGGTGAGGTATAGAGAGTCTGCACAGATACTACAAGAATATAGGAAGAAACTGTAATATCTCAGATCCACATTGCAAGAAAGGAAGACACATAGACAACATGAAAAAGCAAGGGAGGAAATTGCCCCAAACAAACCAGGATACTATAATAACAGAACCCATGGACAGTGAAGTTGATGAAATGTCAGATAAGGAGTTTGGAATGTTCATAATTAAAATGATCTGTGAATTAAAGAATGACCTAAATGAAATGACCTTATTAAATGATCTGTGAATTAAAGAATGACCTAAATGACCTTATCTCTTTGTTGGAGTGAACAGGCAAAAATTGTTCACTCCAACAAAGAGATAAGAGCAAATACAAGTAACAAAAGATTACTTCAAGAGAGAGACTGAAAAAAAAGTCAGAAATCCTTGAAATGAAGGATACAATAAATCAAATAAAAAGCTCAATAGAAAGCATAAGCAACAGACTAGGTCATTTGGAAGAAAGAATATCAGATAATGAAGACAAAGTATACAATCTGGAAAACAAAGTTGGTCACACAGTGAAGATGGTAAGAAACAATGAACAAAACATCCAAGAATTATGAGACAGCATCAAAAGACCAAATCTGAGTTATTGGGATAGAGGAAGGCACAGAGTTTCAAACCAAAGGAATTCACCAAACCAATGTGATAATATCAAAAATTTTTCTAAGCATGAAGAACGAATTGGAAAACCAAATACAAGAGACTTACAGGACACCAAATGTACAAATGACAACAGATCTACACCAAGGCACATTATAATGAAAATGCCTAACATACAGAATAAGAATAGAATCTTAAAAGCTGCAAGAGAGAGGAATCAGATCACATATAGGGGAAGACCAATTCGTATCTCAGCAAATTTTTCAACCCAGACCCTCAAAGCCAGGAGATCGTGGAACAACATATACCAAGCCCTGAAAGAAAATTGATGACAACCAAGAATCTTATATCCAGCAAA